AAATTATAAATCAATAAATTCTACTTTAAATAATTGAGTCTGGATTTAGAAATACGATCGCAAATATCTCGAGATGGGATGATTTAATATCAATGAATGTTAGCTCATTGGATTCGTCTAGTCACGAGAAATCGAATGGTATTTGTTTCATACGAATCAGTGTGATATTGACAAGATCATACATCTTTTTTTTTTGTTTTTTTTATATATAAAAAATCATGTGATATGACATAATTTTGACTATTTTGACTTTTCATTTTGACTTTGACCTCCAAAGTTGAAACATTTCGACTTTTTGGGTTTTCATTTCAATTTCATATATAATGGATAGATATTGCGATTGTTTATTCAGATGTAATGTATATAACAAAATATTATTAAAAGAAAACCTTGCACTAGAAATTTTCATTATTTGGAAAACTTTGTAATTTGCAATTTGAATTTAAATACTTCTTACATCTTAATTTTGAATCATAATTTTTCTAAGTAGTTGTTTAAATAAATATTAAAGGGTTTCCCTTTTTACAAAAAAAAAGCAATATATTTTATTGACAATTCTTTTTACAAAATAGGACAAAATTCAAGCTCATTAATTCAATATAATAAATTTTAAAAGAGCAAGTATCGTAATTCAAAAAATCAAATGTCAAAAACTTGTAAAGGTTTATCAATTAGCATGAACTATTTTACAGTATAATTACAAGCATAATCAATATATATCAAATTTGCATGTCATAGTTCCCAAGAAGCCATTATTGATTAATTCACAAAATCTTAAGATCAAAGTAATGATTATGAAAATAAGTCTTATCAATGCAGTAACACAGGTTTCTCAAATAGGCTAAATGTCTTTTTGAAGTATTGTTTAAGCAACAAATAATTATAGGATTTTTAAATGTAAAAGTTAACTATTATTAATTTTAAGACAAACTATTATTCGTATAAATAAGAAGATTAGTGAGATGCATATAAATGAAATCTTCAAATAAAACAATAACTCTAAATTCTATGCTTTTGGTATTATGGTAGATGAATCAACTCGAGAATAACAAAGAATTTTTGTTCTTTGTAAGATATTTTGAAATTGCAAGACAAATATTTCTAATTTTAAGTTACTTAAAATGAAGAATTTAAATATTTGTACTGACAAATTTATTACAAAAGCAATATATAACACATTTGAACATTTTTTTTTTAGTATAAATTCTCACTAATGCTTGATTTCTAATACAAATTATATAAGTAATTAAATTGGAGGAGCAGTTGTATTATTTAATAAATTATCTAAAGCTAAATCTTATCAGATTTTTTGAAACCTTTATGTAATACATATAATTAATAATTTTTAAGAAGTGTTTTTTGGGAAATTACCTAGCATAAGTGAATTTTTACAAAATAAACTTTCTGCAAATCTTCTATATTTAACTTGGGAACTTTATGATGGCTATAACAAAAATAATAAAGAAACGCTAATAGGAATTAATTCTTATCATATTCATATGCTTTTTAAGAATGAATTCAATATCAATTACCTTAATACTAATAACCTATTAGAACCAGATAGCTTTACAAATTAATATACGCAAAATAATATTTGGAACATAGAGAAACACATAAGCATTTGTTAATTAGTTTTACCCTGTCTTAAATACCCTGTCATAAAATAAACCAAAAACTTATAGTAAAAAATGGGAATTATTTAAATCTTGGCTTTATGATCTATTTCTTAATATTCAAATCAAGATCTTATTTAGATTTGTCAAATATTTTAATCAACAATTTGCAAGTTTGTTACTGGATACGATCTAAACATTCAAGATCTAATTTCAAATTTATCCAATTTTACAATTTTTTCTGATTGACATTCTCATCAGATGTCAGACTTTGTGATTCAAATAATAATGCAACTAAAAATAATGTTAAAAATCCTTTTTATTTTTTTGAAATGAGCTTTTAGAAAATACTAATTTATTAAATAATGATCAATTTAATGAACTTATAAAAAAATTGAATTAAATATACAAAAAGTATTAAAACTTCACCAAAAATGGTTGAATAACTGGTTGTACTTACCATTAAGATTGTGTTGATTAGGTGGAAAATATGGACGTAAATTTACTTGCAGCTTTATTTATATTACTTTAAACATATCTTGGTCAACTCCATTTTTACTTCGAGAATTATGCTATACTAATTTATTGATCCAGATATTAATACTGGAGGGGAGGTATTAATGATTTTGACTTGTCAGAAGTACTCAAAAATCTTGATTTTAAAACAGAATTCTTACAATTTATTAATGATACAAGTAAAGGCTCTTCATAATTTTTCCAAGATACATGAATTTGTCAGATATTGTATTTGGTATATTGTTATTCACCAACAACAAGTAGAAAGTCTTTTTAACAAATAGGATCTCAAAATCCACCAAAATATGACAAGTAGTCTTCAACTTCGATTGTATACTATTCCTCCTAATGTGATTAAAAGTTCTTCTTTAGATTTAGTGGAATTTAGAGCTAAAAAATATCAGTAAGCTTTAAATGAAACAACTTCTCTTTATAACCAAAATTTTTTAATATAGTTAATAAAGATAAAGATTATCAAACATATTATTTGAGAAATTATTTAACAGAAAATAATTATTATTATATGTAAATATTTTAATGTGATTTCTGTATGATTTACTGCAGTTTTTAAAATCTGATTGTTATTTAACGAATAAAAACGTTGTGTAATGAATAAAAAGCTGACATTCTTTTGATTTAATTAGTCCTAGTACATTATTGATGAGTTTAGAAAATTATTCTTAGCTAATAAGCATTTTGAGTTGAGAATATAAGGTTTTGTCATACTATATTGGCTTAATACAAATTCGTTCATAACTCATATATTCAAAAAAATATTTATATCTATTCTTTAAGTCATAGTTTTTTTTAATATATTTAATACTATCGAAGAAACGCCAATTCCATTACTAGTAATTTAAATTTGATAAATTACTTACTTAATTTAAAATTCATATTCTAAACATTGCTTACGTAAAAATCAAGAGTTGTAGTCTTAATTTTTAAACTTAAAAATGTACCTAAGAAAAGTTTAGTATTAATTAAAATAAAGATTAAAAGTATAAAATAATGAAAAAATAAAATAACTTTACACTTAGTAGTTCGAACCAGATTTTTTATCATTAACTGAATATAAGCTTATTGTAAAAGCACTACTGAAAAATAACAACCATGCTTACAAATCAAAAAAAAATATTAAAATAACTTGAAATATAATATGAAATTCTATTTTATTATATAAAATGAATTATTCTCCACATTTATTAAATCTAAAATCACCAAAAAAAAAATTTACATTTAATCATTACGGTATGATACAATTGGAAAGTCTAAAAAAAAAAGAGGAAAATAATACCCAACCTGAAAATCGTTAGCTAAAATATCTAACACTACTAAAGAGTAGATGCTACATTTAATTATCCATAATAGGATCCCTTTTACATATACTGTATTAACTATATTATTAAACGTCAATTTGATTAAACAAATCCTTAAAATTTTATATTAATATTTATTTCTTTTCAAATAAATCTATTTATTAAACGTAAATACTTTCTCATCTGGTAAAAATATGCATGATCCAACAACAGTATTATGATAAACCGATAGTGAATTGAGCTAATAGAATTGAGCTAAAAAATCTCATGTGATGTGCATAATGTTCTTCCAACTTCACTTATAAATTAAAACCACAGTCTGATTCTACTTTGTATAAGAATGATGATACAAGACTAAGACGGATCGCGTAGGATTAATTATCATCTTTAGTGACGAGACATAATAAATCATATGATCTGTAACATGATTTTAACAGAAAACTGACAAAAAAGCTTGGACAAATAGTTTTAATAAACCCTAATTAATTGAGGTGTGATTAATAACGAGTGACAAATGTGATTTTACATCCTAAAAAAACTAAGTACCCAAATAATATAGAAAAAGTGAAACCATGGTATGATGTGGCTTGATGATTTTTTTATATAACCACGTGTCTGAACTTTTTCTGTCAGTGATGATAGCAAACTGCTCATATTACTTGTATAATCACCAATCGCATTGTATTGATTTTATTTTATAACTTAATCTACTGTATTTCTTGGTAAACTAGGAAATGTTTTGAATTACAGATGTTATTTAAATTCAAATTCTGGTGTTAATTTATTAAACTATGTTTTCTGTACTTAAATAATTTTATCAAATCATAATAATAGTAATTTTTTTTTTGTTGTTATAGCAAATAAAAAACTTAAAGTGACAAATGAAAGCTACTTGTTTATTTTTTCTTATCATATGGTATTTCATACTTTTCTAAAACTGATTAAAAATATAAAAATTGTTTATGAAATGCCAGCTATATAAAATGGTGCTAATGTTCTTCTTCCATCAATGTTAATAATGAAGAATTGAGTCTTCAGAATAATAGTTGTTTTTAGAATATAATTCTTATTGTATATATTTTATTACCTAGTCTCTCTCTTTTTTTTTAAAAAATATCAATTTGAATGATGAAATACATATATTCTTATATTCACTCGTTTATTTTGTGATTAATATTTAAGAAAGTACATTAATAAAATAACAATACAAATAAATAAAATATGCGATTAAGTTTTATAAATCAATGATGCCAAATCATAAGGTCCAATATCATTTTTAAATGATCTTTGGTCATTTGATCTGAAATTTATAATAAAAGTAATAAAAATTATTTCGTTAAGGTTATTTGAAGACATATCAAGGTCTTTCATATCCATTTACTAACACTGGCATAAAGTATAATCAATATCCAATTATTTTTAAAATATCTTCTTTTGTTTTGGAGTCTACGGTTACTTTATCACTATCCATTAATTTTTTTACTTCATTGACATCAGCATAATAATAACTATCAAATATAAATTATAATTAAAAAAAAAAATACAAAAAATTGCTTCAAGAAGAAAAGTTATAATTACATTGTTTCTGGAAACCATGTTTTCCAACGTCGTCTTTGATTAGGAAGAAAATAGAATAATTCAATTTCTTTAAGAATCTATAATAATAAGCACTATTAATAGATTATCTCAATATATCAAGCAGATTTACATTTTTACTAACCTCTGCTTTTTGTGCTATATAATTTACCCGATCATTGTCTGCTTCAATTGCCATATTTAATAATCCAATCAACAAGTTCATGAGAAATACAACAATTATAAATGAATATAGAAGCATTAACATAATCATTATTTTATTATCTTTCGGTGACCATTTATTAAATAAACTTCCGTCTCCTATATATATTTTAAAGGCAGTATATTAATAAATTTTAAGGAATTCAAAAAAAAAATTACATACCTGTTATACCTGTTAGGAAAATACTCATTGCTAAAAGAGAATTAGCATAATCTGAAAATAAATTGGTATTTTCATCGGGCACTTTATATATGGTTGAAATAATATTCCCATTCGAAACTTCATAATATTTTTCTGTAAGACGCCAAGGATTATTTGGATCTGTTAAATTACTTGGATCGGTAAATTTATCTAAAGTATCTGCAAAAATCGGAGGAGTGGGTTCTAATAAAATCATAAACGCGTGGGCAAAACTCAATGTAATAAGAAATAAAATAAAAAGAAATGAAGAAATTTTGCGAGCTACGCCAAGTATTATAGCAAAATAAACCCCAAATGGTTCAAATGCTCGGAAAAAGAGTATGAATTTCATTTCAAGTATAAGACATGAAATTGATACTAAGGAAGTATTAATTTCTCCATTTTTGTACCAAATAATTGATGTATACATAGGTAATAAATAAGCACCTAAGTCTAAATTTTAAATAATAATAAATTAAGAATAATGCAATGAGGTAAATTATAATAAATAATACATACCAAAAAAATTCCAAAAATCTAATAACCATCTATAAGGATTCCATATAAATTGACGAACTTCAAATAAAAGATGAAAACAGCCCAAAAATATGGACGTTTTTAAATAGAAATTATTTATATTTTTATCATCTGCATTTGAAGCTACTATAAAACTAAAAAGAAACATAGTATATAGAAACCAAATTGTTATATAATAATATATTCCATATACTCTCCATTTAAAATTAATTAAAACTTTTCCATTCCAAGTTTTATAAAATTCATTATTTGCTTTGACAAAAGGATTCGATTGAGGTATTAAAAAATCAAAAAGAGGAATAGACCATTCAGGTAATTTTTTATAAGAAAATGTAGAATATGAATAAGGATATGAAGTATAATAAGGAAATGGAATTATGAATAAAAGGGTTGGTTTTGTAGGTTTGCTTCGTTGAATTAGAATCATATACATCGTTATTATCATAAATGTTAATGGATAGAAAATTTTTGAATATTGTATATCTGCTATATAAGATAACGAACAATAATTAATTATTAAGGTTATATATAAAGATCGTAAAATGTAGTTTAGTTTCCTAATTTTCTATGTAAAATATAAATAATCATCAATGAACCAAATATATCATCTGAAAATCCTAAATCTAAAGTTGACATTAACGAAAATGGTAACACAAAATATTCAATTTTACTCGGGAAATACTTATTCAAAATAAAATATAAAATAATTACAGAAACACGCGGAACAATTATAGAAAATAAAGTATTTACTGATATAGTAATATAGTTAAAAAATACTTGACTAAGAAACGTGTATAATAATAATAAATAATCTTCGAATAATAATGCTAAGTTTTTAATTTGAGAGAAATATAATTTTATATTAAAATAAATAAAAATAATTATAAGTAGCGGGATATATAAAATAAGGGGTTTAAATATATATAACGTTAAGTCCATTGACGTCGAAAGTACATGTAAAGCTAAATCAAATAATTCCAGGAGAATTGGAATTGTCCAAAACATAATTATTTCTTTATATTCTTCATAATGATAAGGTATATAAGGTCTTATTTCTAATTGTTTGCAGAGAGAATAATGATGATCAACTTTTGTATAAATAATCTCTTGATTTAAAGGGTCTAATATTAAATTTGTTTCATCATAATATTTTAAAACATATTCGTAATATTTGTCCTTTAAGTATAGAATATTATTGCCAACTATTGATAATATGCAAAAGTTACTTTTCGGGTTTTCTTTAAAATGTCCAAAAGTTTTGTCAAAAATTATGCTTATTAAATGAATATTATTTTGTTTAATCGCCGATTTTAATATTTTTTCTCCATATAATACAAAATAATATTTTGTATTTAATAAATCATTTATCAATGGCATTTTTGATTCCTTTTCTGTCGGATCAGCAATGCATTTCATATCTAATTCGCATTTATCATAATATTTGAATATAACATCATGTAAAGTTTTTCTAATGGTTTCATCCTTTAAATACATAACATCAACATCATTCATTTTATCTTGGATTGAAATATATTTTTGATCTATATATATATTCTCATCATTGTTAATATAATCATTCATATTATCATCAAATATGGATTTTCTCCAATCATGATTTGCTAAATTATAAATATAAGGTTTATCTGGTGATACTATAAAAATGCATTTGTCCTTAAAATCGATATGAATACTTTTCTCGAGATCTCCAAATTCTACTAATTTATTGCAACTAATTGAACCTTTTAGATTTGATTTCCAAAAATAAATATTAATAGTTTGATTATATAATGTAATCATGAATTCATCATTATTGCCGGCGAATTCGAATTCTTGACAATCTTATAGACAAAATAAAATAATTGTTAATTGGAAGTATAAAAGTTCAATTAAAGTAATTCATACATACTTGGATCATTAATATTTCCAATTGGAAAATTTATGTGGTCTATATTATTGGAATATATATAATGCTCATCAACTATTTTCATAATAATAAACTTTTTTGAAAATTTGAATATCACTTGATCAATATTTAGATTATTTTCCTATATAATACAATTAACATATTAATATTATTTCAATATATATCAAACAAATTTTTCAATAAAGAATCATATACGTACAAAAAGCGAAAATTTCTGAAGTTGGAAAGTAGTTAAATCTAATAGAAAAATTAAACCATATGACATCATCCAAATCCTATCGCTTTTAAAACCTCCAAATCTTATATCTTTTTCATTAAAAAGATAAAAAGCCTTGCGAGCCAAATTTTTTTTTTTTGTATATTCATAAATCAAAACTGCAGGATTTATTAAAGCGCTGCTATTGCTCTGAAATGTTACTATATTCCCATCTTCAAGAAAATTCGTATGACTGTAATCACAACGTTCATCTTCAATTTTAAAATCTTTGTTATTTTTCAAATCATGGAATTTTGCTAATCAAGATACGAAAAGTTAATCAATGTTAAATTTGTTTGTCTTATTTAGTAATAAATTAAATCTTACCTAGACCAGCATCAGTATTATCATACAAAATTATCTTTTTATCAGAGACCTTGAAATCATTAATGTCTTCACATTTATATGGATTGGTATCTGTATCTAAATTAAGATCGAAAGGTTCTGTACGGGTATTGACAAGCCATCCGACAAAGGAATTATCTTCTTGACTATATGTTAAAACATATTTCGATTGTGGTGAAATTGCCACTTTAGATATCGATTTATCATTGTGTGATGAAGAAATAGAAGAAATAGTTGTATCATCAACGACAATCACGTGATCTTGAAACATATTGAAAACTGAAAGGTGAGGTTTGGCGGCGAATTATCAATTTAATTATATTAAATATAATTAATAAACCTTTAATTGTAAAATTAATTTTTTAAACCAATATTTATATCTATAATTTTATCGGAAAAACACCGAATTTTTTTTTTGATTTGATTCTTGTTGATCGGTCGGATTTACATCACCGGATTTTTATGCATATTTATGCATATTTTTATCACTCCAACAAAAAAATTTTAACAATATAGCAGTAATTTCTTAGTAAACTCTCATGAAATTTGAGACGATGGGTGGCTTTCGTAGTATGACATTTAGTTTTAGTGCGTAATAAATTCCTTTTTATAATTTAAAAGCATTAGTTTTTCTAAGTTATAAAAGCAAATAAACAAAACTAAGGTCATGCTGTGCTAGGTGATAAAATTGAGAATTCTAATCGAATTTTCCGTATGTCAAACCGTAAATGAAACGATATAACGAGCCGAGTTTCGTACAATGAAACAAAACAATTTAACGAGGTACATATTATACTTTTCGTGAATTAATAATAAAATGTTGTATACATGTGTACATACACCTAAACAATAGATTGTATACTCTCAATTATCTGATATGAAATTGCGCCATCTAATTTTTAACAGTTCCGACATAACCATTACAGTTGTTAAAATAATGGAAGATTATTCTGAAATATATTATAGGCTTCAATTAAACTTTTCATTACGTACAAATTAAAGATAAGAAATAATTAAGTTATCCGGTTAATCAGCTAATAGATAGTTACAAAATATTCTCGAATTTTTTATTATAAAACAGCGGTGGTTCCTTAGTAATCCGAAACTGCTGAATTATAGTTTTTTTTTTAAAATATTAGATGTCAAGCGAAATGTTTTTTTTTTTACGCCATCATTTTCTTAATCATTTTTTCCTTTTCAATCGGATGTTTATCATCAAGTAATATCTAATATATCGAAAAAATGTCTCGGGTTAATTTTTCGGTTAATTTTTGATGACATTTTAGTTTTTCGACAGTTAGTTTCTTTTGCACTAACTTCTTTTTAATTTCATTTTTTTTTAATAACATATGGGAGCTTGTCAATAGAAAGGGAGGAAATCTAAAAAAAATTAAAATTACTTTATATGCTTAATATGAAAAATAAGTCTAGATTTAACATTAACTCATAAAAAATTTTTTTAGTTTCCTCTTTTCTATTGAAAAGCTCCCATATGGGAGGGGAAAGCTTTGCAATTGCATCCCATGCGTAGTTACATGTGTAATAAATATCCCATGCAAGTCTTTTCACATTTTCACGTGATTACAGTGATGGCAAATGATCAGGTCATTTGACTAATTTTCAAATGACTTGAATTCTAAATGACAGCGAATCATCCACGGATAAATTTCACAAATCCGTAATACTTAAAAATGATCC